TTTTTGTATTTTATTATTTTTATTTTTAAAAATTATTATTATATAGATATTAGTTATAAAAATACATATAAAATTTTAATTATATAAATATAAGTAACATATTAATTAAATAAAATAGTTAAATAAGTCAAATAAATAATTCTAAACTTTTATATTTATTATTTAACTTAATACTTATAAATATAATATTTTTATACCTATTAATTATCTATTTTTTTCTACATTTTAAGTATGATGCTTGTGCGAATGGGTAAAATGCTTGGAAGTAAAGTGTACGTATCCAATGCTCACCCTAATCCCAAGCTGGAATATGGACTTTCTAACCGCAAGCCCCAAGCTTCGGCGAACTCTCTCCGGGCTTATGGCCCAGTTTTTGAAGTTATTGGGCTTGACGGAAATGGCTCAGACTTGACTTTGTAAAGACTTAACAACAACACGCAGCCTAAAAAGAAATGGCCAAAAAAGGAAAGAAAAAAAGGCCTAAAAAGAAAGCCCCCACCCTAGGCCCTCACACTCACACTTCCATTCTTCAATAGTCCAATCAAACTAATCTCAATTTCAAAGGCCCAAAAAATAAAAATAAAAATAAAAATCTTAAGTTTCAATCACAGAACGTAGAAGAGTTCAAGAATTCAGCTTAATGAACGCAAAACAGAGTCCTAACAAATTTAAGTTATAATATTTAAAAATGATGCAATTTAAGTTTAGTTTGAAGAGAGGAGAGAAAAGATTTTTGGATTTATTAAATTATAATATTTAAAAATAATATAATTTAATTAATTAAAAAATTCTCTATCCTCCTTTTTCTTTTCTCTGTTCTTCTCAAACTAAACTTATAATAAAGGTTGATTATGCGGTTAACAAAAAAAAAAAAAAATTCAAATAATTTTGTAGGCCAACTCCGCAATCCGCATAGTACCTAATTAAGGTAATTAATCTTAATTAGAAGACTTGGAAAGCTTAGATTTGATTTTGTAAAGACTTAAACTCAGCCTAAAAAGATATAGTTTAATTTAATAAATCCTTTATTAATTATTGACATTTTTTTGATTTAGTCTAAAATTTTTATTTTCTTTTAAAATTGTCTATTAGTTTTTTAAATTATTTTCATTTCATTTATCTAACACAATTTTATTAGACAGGATAACGAAAATTCATGTCATCGTTTATGCAGTGTTGCGCAAGATGCGATGTAAACAACACATGGCCTAAAAACAAAGGAAAAATCTTTGCCTCTTTGTTTCCCTAACATTGTTAGCTACAAATAATTAAATTATAAACAAATCTAATTAAAACAAAGATCAATTAAAAAACAAAAACAAAATTATCTAGGCCATGTGTTGCTTACATAGCAACTCACATTGCATCACATAAGGGATGACAGGGATTTTTGTTAATCTTACTAATGAAATTATATAAGGTAGATGAAATTAATATAATTTTAAAAGTTATTAAATATTTTTTAGTAAAAAAATAAAAAATTTAAATTAAAATAAAAAAGTCAACATTTAGTAGATGATTTTTTTTTGAGGGAAAGGAAATTTTCATATATTAGATAGAATAAGATTACAGGAAGGAGTTTAAGATACAGCATCAGTGAGTAGTAATTGCAGCAAAATATCAGGGGGGCAATGAGCCCAGTAAAATGGGCACTGTCCCTTGAGAGTTGATCGTGCAATCCAATCAGCTACTCTATTTCCTTCACGAGGGATAAAAGAAAAGGAGAAATTAGGCCGAGAAGAACAAAAGCTTCTGATGTTGTGTATGATGGAGTGGATCTCCCAAGGAAGGGGTTGGTTCGCATGCTGTGCGTATGAGATCAAGGTCTCATTATCGGATTCGAAAATCACTTGATCCAATCCCATGTCCACTGCTGATTGGACAGCCCTCAGTAATGCATTTGCTTCAGCCATAAGAGGGGAGGCAGTAGAGCATAACCACGTTCGTCCAGTAAGTATCTTCCCGTAAGAGTCTCTACTCACCCTGGCCAATGTCGTCAACTCGGAGTTAGGCATGAAGGAGGCGTCAACATTAAATTTCAAAAAGCCTGGTGGAGGACGAGTCCAAGCAGAGGTAACGTGTTTTCTTTGCATTGTCTGCTTTGGAGGCAGGAGTAAGTCTCTACCAGGACATGAGCAAAATTCCTGAAGCATTGCATTAGCTTTGAACAAGATATGTTCAGGATTAAATGTAGCCTGTTCAAAATGTATCTTATTCCTTGCCTTCCATGTATTCCAGCAGATGATTGCCCATTGTTCAAACAGATATGGAACACCCATTTGTTTCTCAGTCTCAGTTAAAAGACACCACCATTCTGCAAGATTTTGCAGCCTCAGTTGCCTCGGAATAAAACCCAAGGCTGAACCAAACCATATTGGTTCAACATGAGGGCAATAAAATAACATATGCATCAAGGACTCGTTATGAAGCTGACAGTTTGGACAGAGGGCATTGTTCACAACCCCTTTAGAAAATAAATTGTCAAGAGTAGGTAATCTGTTATGGATAGCTCTCCATAAGAAAACCTTAATTTTAGGGGGTAATTTGAGTTTCCAAAGGTGTTTCCATTCTGCAGGGGCAAGAGATGATTGATTTTTTGAAATATCAGATCCATGGACATATTTGTAGGCAAGGAAATAAGCACTTTTGACAGTGAACTTTCCGTATTTATTATAATGCCAGATAAAAGCATCACCACAAGCTGCTGTTGGAATTTTTGCAATTTCCCCATACTCCTCATTTGTTAAGCATTGATTTAATTTATGACTATCCCAATTTCCTCTTTCATCAATTAAGTCGCAAACATAAGTATAGAGAGATTCAGTGCTAGGAGGAGACAGTACCTTAAACTGTGGTAGAGAGGGAACCCAGGCATCTTCATAGATTAGGATTTTCCTTCCGTCACCCACATTCCATCGTGCCCCAAGCTGAAGAATTTCTCTTCCCTTCAAGATACTTGTCCATGCCCAGGATGGGTGGCTTCCTTTCCTAGCTGAAAAGAAGGATGCTTCCCTGAAATATAGGCTTTTGAGTACTCGTACCCATAAAGAGTGGGGGTTCTGCACCAGCCTCCAAGCCTGTCGAGCCAACATAGCCAAGTTAAAGCAAAATAAATCCTTAAAGCCCATTCCCCCGGATTGCTTACTTTGAGTCATTGTCTTCCAACTAAGCCAACTTATCTTCCTTTCATCTTGCTGTTGCCCCCACCAAAAGTTACGGATTAATCTATTGATGTCCTTGCAAATATTACTTGGGAATAAAAAGCAAGACATAGTGTAAGTTGGGATAGCCATAGCAACTGCCTTAATGAGGACTTCTCTACCAGCCTGAGATAACAATGCCACCTTCCATTGCTTCAATTTTTTGTTTATTCTTTCAACTACATATTTCAAACTAGCTTTTTTAGATTTACCCCAAGAGGTTGGCAAGCCAAGGTATTTACTAACAGTAGAATGACAATTAATACCAAGTTGGCTACAGATTGATGCACGAAAATCTCCAGGAGTATTAGTACTAAAAAAGACAGCAGATTTGGCAAAGTTAATCCTTTGTCCTGTAATATCCCCATATTGCTGCAAAATAGACTGTAAATGACTCACCTCCTCCATCTTTGCTTTGCAAAAAACAAGCGAGTCATCAGCAAATAGAAGGTGGCTTATGGTCGGGCTTCTGTTGCGTATTTTATATCCAGATAATTTCTTATTAGCCTCTGCTGTCATTAATAACCGAGACAAAATGTCAGCTATAAAGATATAAAGATAAGAAGAAAGAGGATCCCCTTGACGAAGTCCTCGCTGAGGGATGAAAGGAGGAGTTGGTATACCATTTACAAGTACTGTATATGATACAGTAGTAACACATTGCATCACCCAGTGGATCCATTTAGCACAAAAACCATGAGCATGTAACACATGCTCAAGACAGCCCCAATCTACACTGTCATATGCTTTTCGTATATCGAGTTGAAGAGCCAAAAAACCATTCACCCCTGTTTTCTTCAGCTTCAGGCCATGGAAAGCTTCATGAGCAATTAAAATATTATCTTGTATAGATCTTTCCGGGATGAAGGCAGACTGAAAAGGAGAGATAAGGCCATCAAGATAACCTTTTAGCCGATTAGCTAATAGCTTAGATATAATCTTATAGGAAAAATTACATAAAGAGATGGGGCGGTACTG